GCCAAAGTCATCTTCTGAAGGCACCCCTTTGACCATACACTCCTCAGCTCAAGAATCTTCAGTGTGTGCCTAGTGCCTTATCCCGGCATTTCTGGCCTTCTCCAATCAGACTCCACCTGACTCTCTGGAGACCTGTGACATCACTGCTCTCCACTCAGGGGTACCAATCAGACCCAAACTGTTCCCCAAACTCAACCTATTACCTCTGACATCTAGACATTCATGAAGGCCTCCTCATCTTTGCCTGTTAAAATCCCTTTTCTCCACTGAAGCCTAGCTCAGGGGCCATTTTCTCTAATCTCTTCTAGGTAAAACTGAGACTCTCCTGCCTTGAATATTTCTGTAGCGTTCTACAACTCTTGCTATCCCAACCTACCTTGTAACAAACCTATGGACAAGCATTTTACTGCTCCCTGATCAACTGAAGGCCTCTTGAGGCTACTATAATGAGGCAAATGCTTAATAAATGCCTATGGAACTGAACTGTGAAACTATGATGGATGGGTCAGAAGTCAAGGGTGAACAGACGGAGTGGGATAAGGCTCCTTTGCTGGCAAGGGCACTGAGGAGGGAGACGAGAGGATTCTGGGGCTCTTTGAGGGAAACTCCAGGGAGAGGAGGGGGCAAGGTGGCCACTCTGGGTCAGGGGGATGGGAGGATACACCCAGTCTAGGCTGAGGTTTTCAGGGGGCGGGCCACTGGGCAGCTCCTCAGGACTGCGGACGCCTGATGGAATGTACATGGTGATGGGCCGCCCTCGAAGGAACATCTTCACCGAGATGCCCTCTGCAGGGAAGACAGGGAGACCGGACTTACCTTCCAATTCTCTCTCCCCATGGCGAGAAGGAGGACAAATTGGGAGCTAAATTCCATCCTCTGAGCCCCATCCTCACTTAAGGGCCCACTGTTCTCAATTCCAGGGTTCCACAGCCCAGAGTTGGAAAGGACCCCAGAGGCCACCTTATCAGACCCACTCCTGACCACAAATCTCACCTCCACAACACAGCTTACGAGTGATCCTCTCACCACTGCTGGGAAACCACCCAGGATGGAGAACTCACTCTCTTTGGAGGCAGCCATTCATACCTGCCCTGCCTCCTGAGTCCACCAAACAGACCCTGCTTCCCCAGATCTGCCCTTACCCAGGTTATAATTGCTCCTCCGAGAACCAGGGCCTCCAGGGCTGGAGACTGGATCTTTCCCTCCTCGGCTGCGGAGGGAGGTGAAAAACAGTCAAGAGGTGAGGATGTGTCACAGAGCAGGACCTTGAGGAGAGAAGTCTGGGAGACGGTTTACTTAGTATCAAGAAGAAAAACACTCTAATTATAGCTAGCACAAAGCATTTTTACAAATATGATCTCATTTGGTGCTATGGTTACCCCCATTTCACAGATGAGGAAACTGAGGCCAACAGCAGCGAAATGACTTGCCCAGAGTCACTAGTGACTGAATGCCTGAAGCCAGTTTGAACTCAGGTCTTCTTGACTCCAAGTCTGGGAACCACCCAGCCACTGTGGTACCACCCAGCTGCAGCCATGGCTCCTTGGGGATGGTTGGCTCTTTCAGGGAACTACCAGTGATAAAGAGAGGCCCAGGACGATCAATAAGTGCCTTGAGGCTTCTATTCTAGGGCGCTGCCTGAGGCACTGTAAGGAACAGTGACTAGCCCAGGGTCATACAGCCACTTTGTGTCAGTGGCCAGACTTGAATCCAGGTTTTGCCAAGAGGATGAGGAACCCATGAAGTCATGCAGCCTCCCACTCTGGGCATTATTATCCCCATTTTTCAGGAGAAAATAGAGGCTCACACAGCTATTAAGGGTCTGTGTCAGGATTCAAAGCCAGACCTCTCTGGCCTAGGCCATGGTAACTGGCTGAGCAAGAGCTCCTACCGGTTCTATAGCTGACCTGTCCCCAGGGCAAGTAGATCTGTCTGCTTGGGGAACAGCAGAGCCCACACAGACCCTGCTACAGTAGCTTGATTTGTAACAAACCAGGTGGCTGAGAGGGAGGGAGAGATACATTTCAATGGCCTGGCCGAAACCTACTGGGAACCTGGTGCTTTGGCTACATTGGGGTAGGCCTCTCCTGGAGCTGGCTTAAGCTGGTGGGGAGGTGCTTAGGAGTGCCTAGGTTCAGATCACATTATTTTAGCACTCTGGGCCTCAGTTTCCCCCTCTGTAAAATGACAAGGCCAGACTAGATCAGGAGTTCTTAAGCCTTTGGACAGTTGGGAAACCTAAGGGTCCCTTTTTGGAATATTGTTTCTAGGTGAACAGAATACATAATATTAATTAAGGAAACCAGTGGAATTGAAATAGTTATTAAAATATTTTCTAAAACAAGTTTGTGGGCCCCAGGTTAAGAAGCCCTGAACGAGACGGCCTCTCTAAGATCCTGCAACAGCATCTCAGTCAGTATTGCTTCTTCTACAGTGCCTAGGCAGGGGTGACAAAAATGAGGTGTGTGGGAGGGGGAGGTGGTTCAGTGTCTTAGTGTGGGAGTCACAAAATCTGAGTTTGAAACCTGCCTCAGACATTTGGCCTTTTAATCTGTCTGAGCCTCAATTTTTTCATCCGTAAAACAGGGTTAAGAATAGCATCTACTTCACTCGCTGTGGTGAGGATTGAGAAATGTTGCTTCTAGTGTTTGTGGAATGAATAAATAAATGACAGAATGCCTAGTGACGGCTACGACCTCCCAGAGACCTCTGAGGATGCTGGGGAAGGCAGACAGGCCTGCACCCTAAGAGCCAGGCAGCCACCCCCACCCCGATCTGGCCATTGTATGGGAAGGCTGACAGAGAGGAAGGGAAGTGTCTGGAGGGAGGAGCAGCCCACCTTTCCGAGCTGCCTGACCGGAGCAGCAGGTTGGCTGATGAAGCCGCTTTTTTGGAGAGCTTCTGGCGAGGTCGTTCCGAAGGGGAGGAGGAAGAGGAGGAATTCCGCCGAGGCCTGAGTACAGGCCGGGGGTGGGTGGTGGAACAGGCCCCCCGAGGAGACAAGGAAGAAGATGAAGTCAAAGAACGAGCCTCCATTCCCACCTTTCACCTCCTAGCCACCCCCCTCCCTTCCTCTCCCACCCCTGGCTTTGATGCCCAGGAGACTCACGTGTCCCCCCTTTGAGGGAGCTGAAAGGGCCGCAGGGCCCCGGGAGGGCCCGGAGAGCCAGTGCCACTGCTGCTGCCTCCACCTCCTTCGGACTGCACACCCCCCAGCTCCTCCTCTCCACCCCCAGGAGGAGCTGGGGGCCCATTGCTCAAGGCTAAGGGGCCAGAAGACAGCTTGGACTCAGTCTCCATCTCCGTCTGGGTGCCCCTGCTCACCAAGAAAGGCCTGGGGGGAGGTGGCAGCCCTGGAGGGGCTGAGGGGCCACTGCGGGAGAGAGTGAGACGATGTGAGCCTCGGCCCACGGGTCAGAGAGCAGCAGAGAGAAAGGAGGAAGGAGGCAGAAGGGAGGCCAGGTACCTGTCACTAAGTGAGGCAGCCTCCCTGGATGCCTGCACAGAGACAGGGGAAGCTGGGGCTCCCAGGGGTGACCTTGAGGTCCCCTCCTGCAGCCTGAGTCTCCGCAGGACTTCAGCCAAGGCAGCTTTCACCAGCTCCATCTCCTCCTCTTGAACCCGGAGCCTCTGGCTTAAGACCCCCAAGAAGTCTGATCCGGGGGGCTCCCAGCCCCCAGCCTGTCCCTCACCTACATCAGGAGAGAGGGGTGATCATACCCGGCCCTCTCAGCTCTCTGCTGAGCTGGAATTTGGGAGCAGGACCCAGGGCTCCTGGCCTTTCTGTATTCCCTCGGGAACAAGGACTGAAGGGAACCCCCCAAGTACCCCTCCACTGATGCAAGCTGTCCCCAGCCTCAGGAGGGAGAGAGGGAGGGGGCCGGGCTCAGGGTGCAGATTCCGGGGGAGGAAGGGAGTTCATTCCCTGACGCCCACTTCTCCCTCCTGGCCGGGGCTCAGCCTGGCGGGCCCCTTCCTGCCCGACCTACTACAACGTGGAGTAGGGCAGAGGGGACCGGGAGCCGTGCCCAGGACCTGGGGACTGACAGCCGGCTAACAGCGCCCCAGGAAGGCAGGGGCTCCACGCTGCGCCTTGCTGCAGTGAAGCACCGGAGACCCCCTCGGAAGGGCCGCTTCCTTAAGTGCCCTCAAGTCCACGGAGGTGTTCCCATTCCCCCTGGCCTGGTACTCACCCGGCCCCGCGGCCCCGTCCATTCTGCCCCCACCCCGGGGTGCTCCGATCGAGCCGCGAGCTGCGGCCGCGTCTAAGGCTGGGGAGATGCGAGGGCCATGGCCCGCCCGGGGAGGGCACTGGACGACCGGGCGGGGAGCGGGCAGCCGGGGGGAGCAGGGGCCCCCGTCGAGGCGCAGGAGGGCGCCTTCCCCGGGCTGGCTCTGGGCTCCCGAGGGGCAGGGTAGCAGTCCCGGGCCCCTGCTCCGCGGCGCAAACAGACGCCGGACGCGGAGCAGCCAGGAAGCACTGGGGGGGGGCAGTGGGGGGGCGGGCCGCCTGGTAACCCCTCCCTACCCGGTCCGGCTGTACTCCCACGGGGGCGGAAGGGAGGGCGGAGCAAAGGGCCCGAGACCTCCCGTAACCTACTCGCCTCCTCCGGACCCCCACACTTCCCAAGTGCCTTGCCTGTCCACTGTCCCCCGACTCTTCCCGGATCGCCCCCACACATTTACCCTCTATTCCCAGGGGACCAGAGAAGGGTGAGCTATGACACCCAACAGGCTCAGTAGCTCAGCTCTCACCCACCCCCTTTTAATGGACTCCAGCAAAGTGTGTGTAAGGGGTACGGTGCACACAGAGGCCAGGCCGGGCAGGTAGGGTTTTGGGGGGGGGGTGTAGAACAGGAGCAGGAGGCGGGGCCACAGGACTGCTTATTTTATCGATAGGGGACAGTCCCACGGGGGGATGGGGGGGGTGTGGAGCCCGGAAACCAGTGCTGGGACGGGTTGGCTGGGGGATGGGGGGGAGGGGGATGGGCAAGGCAAAAAGTTATTAAGGCTTAGGGGTGGGCCCTTGGGGTATTGGGGTCAGGTTGGCATTAACCCAGCGCTGAGCCAAGCCAGGCTGACTCAGCAGCCTGGCCCCTGTCTTGGTCCCCTGGCAGGCCCCCTCTGCACTCCCACAGGGCAGAGATGGGAGATGGCTGTCATTCTGCCCCTTCCCCTGCCCCTCCAGGCCCGGATCCGCCTGGCCCAGGGGCTCTGGCTCTTCTCCTGGCTATTGGCTCTGGCAGGTGGCCTCACCCTGATCTCCAGTGGCCATCTCCTGGCACAGCTATGGCACCTGAGCCCTTTCTTGGAGCCCACCTGCTCATTTCCAGCCCTCCCCAAGACAGCTTTGGCTGCAGGGGTGGCTGCCCTGGGCACGGGGGTTGTAGGGGCTGGAGTCACTAGAGCATCCTTGGACATGACCCGATATCCACCTTGGCGAGAGGTGCTGGGACCAATCCTGCTGGCTGGGACCATTGGGGGTGGGGGTCTCCTGGCCCTGGCAGTAGGTCTGGCCCTGGCATTGCCCAGGGGCCTGGATGCTGCTCTAGAAAACGGTTTGGGGACAGCCTTGGCTCACTACAAGGACACAGAGGTTCCAGGGCACTGCAATGCTAAGCGGCTGATGGATGAACTCCAGCTGGCCTACCACTGCTGTGGACGGCACACCTACAAAGACTGGTTCACCGTTCAGTGGATCAGCAGCCGGTATCTGGACCCCAATAACCAGGATGTAATTGAGTAAGTGATGGAATGCTCCTCGTCCCCCTCTAGTCCTGTAAGCCCGCTGCCCCCACCCTCTCCCCCTCCCCTACCATTGTCCTGATGGGCCCCCCAGCTGACAGCCTCTCCACTTCTTTGGCAGCCAGATCCAGAGCAATGTGGAAGGGTTCTATCTAATCGATGGGGTCCCCTTCTCCTGCTGCAACCCCCACTCCCCCTGGCCCTGCCTGCAGAACCAGCTCTCCACCGCACAGGTCCATCCCCTGTCTGATCCTCGGCAGCCCAACCTCAACCTCTGGGAACAGGGCTGCCACGGTGTGCTACTGAGGCACGTGGCAGGGCTGGCCAGCACCCTGGGGACTGTGCTCGGCATTACCTTCCTACTACAGGTAAGCAGATGGAGCTGAGGCACCACCTCTGAGACTCTGCTGCCTTAGGCTAGAACTCAGACAGGCCCTTGGGCAGCCCTCAGGCCTCTGAGTGGTGGCACTCTTCCCTGAGCCCTCTCCCTTTGCCCCTCACAGGTGTTGGTGCTCCTGGGACTACGGTACCTGCAGACAGCTTTGGAGGGCCTGGGAGGAGCCACAGATGGGGAGGGTGACACCCAAGGCTACCTGTTCTCGGGGGGGCTCAAAGAGATGCTGAAAAGTGCATTCCAGCAGGGGCTGTGTGCTCAGAGACCTGTGCCCGAGGAGGTCCCAGCAGAAGCCTAGCACCCCAGAGGAGGGGAAGGGGGCAATGAAAGGAGGAGAGGCTGGCCAGAGCAGTTCTCAGTGCCCCTCCCTGCAGCGGTGCCCATGCTGAGAACAGCACTGCTCCGGAGGGGAATGAAGAGGGGCAACAGCAGGGTCCAGGGAAGAAAGGAAGGGAGCTAGATTAGGAGCGACAGGCAGAAGACACAGAGGGAAGCACCAGCTACAAGCAGCTAAACACAGAAAGCCACCATCTGCTGCTGGCACAGGCGGTGCTGGGGGCAGGGGGGGAAGCGAGGAAAGAAATGGCCGAAATCAATAAACCTCAGCCGCCCAACGCTTTCCTTCCTTTCTTTCTGGGGATGGGGAGAGTGGGCGCTGTCTTCTCTGACCGAGGCAAGGAGGCACTTCTTGGTTCAGGAGGGGCCTTGGGACCACTCTGGGGTCTGACCCGATTCTGAGGAGGTTCAGACGCTGGGTGTCGGGGGTGGCCCTGTTAGAACCACTGAGCGAAGAGCAGGAGTCAGAGGACTGACATACTTTATTCTGGAGGGAGGAATGGGGGAACATGCTTACTATGGGGAGGGACCTGACAGCCCCGTCCTGATCAGGCCCTAAAATGCATGCCCATGCCCACTGAGTAACTGGACAGCACCGCTCTTCAGGCAGTCGTCCCTGCTCCTCCAGCCGAGTCCATCTGCCCGGTAGGACTGACCCAGCTCAACACCACTGTCCACTTGTTCTCTTCGGCGAGCTCCACATGGCAAGATGGGGGAGGAAGGAGCCCTAGAAATGGTCACTGTGTCCACCAGGCCCATAAGGCAGACCCGGCATCTGGAGGGTCAGGACCTTGGACGGCCAGAGAACAAACTCCTCTAGCATATGTATGTCCCCAAGAGTGTCAGCCTCTTGGGTCACACCTCGATGCCGGGGTCTGAGCCCCGTCCTAGCCTCTGCAGCTGTTCTTCCTGTTTCATCTTGGGTTTCTCTGTTCTTGTGTGCCACACCAGCACCTGCAATCAGCACCAGCCCCCCCAGTCAGAAAGCGCGAGGGGACCCACTCGGAGGAGAGAAGACAATACTTCTTGTCCAGCCTCCATGATCATGCGCTCTCTTCTTTGCCATACCCAAACGAGCAGGTCCCTTTGGGCTATCCCCACCTCCCCAAGACCTGACCTCTCCCCCACTATGCCTCCTCTTCAATCACCAGACCCTCCACAAGTTCTAAAGCTCTCAATCTCAAAAGCAGGTCTTAAAAATGTGAAAAAAACAAGCTCACTAGAATGAGAGGCTGCATGCTTATGCCTGAGAAAAGTATCTTCTGTCTCTGACCCCTCCCCCTGCCTTCCACCCTGTGGTTCCCGACCCTTTACCCGTGTGCAGTTCGAAGCCCGGGGCTCCAGATCCTTGGGGTCAATGAGATGGCTGAGGAGACTGCTCTCTAGATGGCCCCGGGGGGCCGTCGGGTCAAACCGGGCACCGGGCCGAGACAAGAGAAGGGGCAGCGATACAGCAAAGCCGGCCATGTCCAGAGGGAAGGGCCGCTCGGGCTCCCAGGCTGTGTGAAAGCCAACCACCTGGCCCCCCTGCACTTGGGGCCCCTCAAACCGCAGGCCACCGACCAGTCCCACAGGCCACACAGAGACACCTCGGGTTGCCCTCATCTGGAGAATAAAACAGATCAAGTTACCAAGACAGGAACAGCGCATGAACACATGCACAACAGGCCAAACTCCTCTGAGGGGCCCCTTCTTCCACCAGCAGCCCCCCAACACAGGAATGTTCTATTTGACTCTTTTCTGCACAACCTCCACCAATGGTTCCTCTGCCTCTCGCCTTTCCCTTACCTCCTCAAAGAGCTCCCGGCTATAGGTGTTGTCATCATCAGCAAAGTACACAACCCCACGAGCCCCTTCAGGAGGTGGGTCCCTTTCCCCACCAACTGCAGTCTCTTTTCCCCTGAGCCAATCCAGGGCTCTGTTCCGCTGCTCCACACCCCGGGGCCGGACCCAGCCTGGCTCCCCTTCTCGAAGCCGCTGTCCCTTGGGTGTGAGGACTACCAGGTGAGTGAACCGGAGGCCAGAGGCAGCCAGCAGTCCCGAGACCAGTGGGGTAGGGGCCTCAGCATCCTCTACCACCACCCAGTGAAGTCTGGGCACCAAGGACAGGGTCTGTGACAGGCGAACCAGCTCGGCCTTCTGCACCAGCCTGAGATGGAAAAGATGAGGGTAAGGGAACGATAAAAACTGGGGGATGTGAGAAAGGATAAGGATGGACACCACTTAGCCATGGCTGAACCCTGACGTAGCTTCAGAACAAAGAACGTGCTAGAACGTGCTTACTGTTTCAGAAGCCTGGATTTAGGATTCCATGGAGTCCACCCCTGTGATGTTCTCTACTACTGTGACCTTGGCAAGGCCTGTGACCTCCCAACCTGTTTCTAGATGGACAATAATAGCTAGAGTACCTTCTTCACGGGGTTACGGTGAGAATAAAATCAGCTGCGTACAAAAACCACCGCACCCTCCAAAGAGAAAATCTCCACCTTTGTCTCTTCCCTCTGCAGCTGGGCCCCATCGAGGGAAGCAGGGACTCCACGGGGCACTTTGCTCAACAACCGCATGGCTTTTCCCATGTTTCCTCTCTCTGAATCTCAACAGCTTCTCCTATTCAGTCTTAGCTTTTCCCTCAAAAAGGTGCCAGGTCCCCAGCACCCCAGACCCACACAGGGTCTCTCCAGCGAGGGCCCAGATGATCCTCCTCACTCCCACTCTTCACGTGGTCAGAAAACATCCTTCCAGGATGGACGTCAGTCCTGGACGACAGGCTTTGCGCCCAACCCTGGCCCACATCTTGTCCCCGACTATATCATTTATGTTTTTAAAAAACCGACCGACCCCACTTTGCTGAGAGAACTGGCTTCCCAGACAGAGCAGGTACCTGGCATAGGTAGGGGTCACAACATAGATGGCGGGCAAAGCCTCAGGTTCAGGGGGCTGGGCGGGAGCAGGGGGTGGCCGACCAAGCTCAGCTTGCAGCTGGGAGATCTTCAGGTCTTTCCTGCGAAGGTGCTCGGCAGCTGCTCGAAGGTGTGGGGAGCAGTCACAGGGCTGGCCTGGGTTACAGAAAAGGGGGAGGAGTGGGTAGAGCAGAGAAGAAGGGATCATTTCTGCCCCAAGGGCCACAGACTAGAAGAGAGAGGTCTCTCCACCTTCAACCACCATCTTTCGTACCTGTGCGGCCCAGGCCAAGTCTCTTAACCTCTCTAGGCATCAGTTCCCCCATCTGTACAATGAGAAGGATGGAAAGAAAGGGCCTCTATGGGACATCCCCTCCATCCCTAAACCCGGCACTCCACCATCTGATCTGTATAACCTCAGGCGAAAGGACCCATTTCTTCACCTTCAAAAGGAAAGGTCTGAATGGGCTTCCTGCTGACACTTTACCTTATCTTCCCTCCAGGAGCTCCAAAAGCCTCGTCTGCAGGAGCCAGAGAGCACCTACCTGACCTGCCTGAAAGCAGGAGGCAGTGAGGAACATTAGAAGGGGAGCCTAAAGACCCTAACCCTAGTCCCGGCTTGGGTGCCGCCATCTCTATATGGAGAGGATGGTTCTGGAGGATGCCCAAGGCCACTCCCAGTCCCAGCATCCAAAGATTCCAGAAGGAGAGGCCACACTGGCTGCCTCTCACAGCCCTTCATCCGCCCCTTGCCACCAAGGGTCACCATCCAGGACACCTTGAGCCCCGTCTGTCCCGCTCCCTCGCCCCTCCTTCCTCACCAAGCTGCAGGAGGGCATAGAGGAGGCCGGTGAGGGACACCAAAAAATAGACGAGAAAAACGTTCTTCAGCTTCAGCTTCATGACCAGACCTGGGAGGACCCTGCGGAAACGGAGGGCGTAGCTGAGGATGAGCAGGGAGAGAAGTGGGGACAGAGGTGACCAGGCGCGGGAAGAGAGGAGCTAAGGAGGGGCAAGGGTCAGGGGCCTCGAAAGTAACAGAGAAGGGAGGCCAGCAGGGGAGGGGCCTGGGGAGACCCAAGGACAAGGGGAGGGGGGTCTACGAGGCCTGGGGAGGTTGGGGGAGATGACAGGGTCAGGGACTGGGGGGCTTCAGGGCCAGAGGAGGGGGATGACAAGGCCGGGGATGGGGGCTGGGGGGCTTCAGGGCCACGGAAGGGGGACAAGGCCGGGGGTGCGGGAGGGGGGCTTCAGGGCCGGGGTCGGGGGATGACAAAGCCGGGGGTGCGGGCCGAGGAGGCAGAGCGGGAAAGGGGGGAGGGGCAGAGATAAGAGCGTGGCACGATGACGGGCGGGTCCCAGGGATGGGGCGGGGAGGGAAAGGGGGTCGTTGGATGCGACCCCAGCCTCACCCTCTACGGGGTCCTGGATGAGCTTACGCCTCCTCCCCCTCCCCTTCTCTCCTTCCGGCCGGTTGGCAGATGTTCATTTCCGGTCACTTATCCTGGCCCATCCCCTAACTTCCGGGGCAAATCTCTCCTCGGTCCCACCCCTCAGATTTCCCGCGCCGCTCACTTCCGGGAGCGCCGGGCCCGTGACGTCACCTCCGGCCCACGCACCCGACGCGGCCCCTAACGCCGCGGAGCCTCGCGGGTGGAAGGGCCCTAGGACCGTCACGTGGGCGCTGCCCCCACGTGGATCCTGCGGCTGCGTGGGCCAGGGGCATGCTCGGCTCTCCGCGGCTCCTGGTGGGCGGGGGGAGGAGGGGAAGGCCCCTCCAGGCCGGAGAGGGGAGGGGCCGCCAATGCCACGCCCCGGCGGCTTCCCTGAAGTTCTACCCTCCCAGGGGTCACTCGGTTCCTCTCCTTGGGACCCCCCAACTCGAATGAAAAACACTGCTCGTTCCACGGACCGCCCTCCCCGCAGTAGTCGTCCGGGAGGATGCGGCGCAAGCGCAAGGCTGGCTCCGCGACCGTGACCTGACCCCGGCCCCTCCCCTCCCCCACCCCGCCCCATTCACTGACTCGTCTTCCAAGAATTTCGGTTCTTTTATTGTTTTTCCGTTTATCAAAACCTGTCCCGGCTCGAGCCGCGGGGAAGTACAAATGTCCAGCCGGATGCCCCTTCCCCCATTCCTCGGAGCCCCCCATCCCCCACTCTGCCAGCAATAAACACACGGAACCGGCAGCCTCGTCCTGTGCATCCCTGCGGGGGGGGGCGCCCACAACGCGGGGTTGGGGGCTCCCTCCTCCCCCGCAGGGCAGGGAGGCGAGGGGCCCCTCTCATGAACCGCAGCAGCTCTGGCCAGGGAGAGGAGCTGGGGAAGGAGGAACCCCACAACCTTCTTTCTCCCCACGCATCCCCCCAGGCTAGGTAAGGGGGTGGTCCCAGTGTATCGGTCAGGTATGAAACCAGGCTATACCAGGCTGACGGGAAGTCACCTGGAATCTCCTTCCCTCCACCGGAGAAGAGGAACAAAAAGGGTAGGCCAGGGCTCAAGGTGGGGACCAGTGTCCTTGGGTCACGTGATCCAGATGCCAGAACCCAAGGCATTCATGGGAAGAGTCTAGGGAGGAAGGGTTCAGGTCCCCTACAAAGATGGGGCGAAGTCGAGGGAAAGGGCCCTGCTGTCTCCATCTGCAGGGAGGGTGAGGGTCAGGAAAGCAGAGGAGGGATTCCCAGGCCGGGAACCACCCCTGGCCCCCGCCCAGCTTATGGCCAGTGAATCCTTCAGGCAGCCTCTGGGCCCTACTGTGGTTGGAAAGGTGACTCTGGGGCAGGGGGAGGGGTGGCTTGCTCAGGATCACGCTTGGGCAGGGCTAACCCTCAGGCTATCGCAAATGGATGCTCCAGTCGGCTGACACATGGACTCCAGGCTTGCGCAAAGTTAGCACCGAGGTCTCTGCGTTGTGATGAAAGCTCAGGATGCTTTCAAGCACGCCTGGAGACAGAGAGGAAAGCCTGTGAGATATGGACAGGCAGAAACCGACCCCTACCCTCCTCCCTCGGGGGTCAAGGCGCTCCCTTACCCTCTGCCTGGAGCAGCACCGAGGCAGGCTTTCCAGCCCCCAGGATCACCACCCGCTCAATCCAGATCGAGGTCTCAAAGTAGCCTTGTGGGTCAGCTGAGCTGGAGGGGAGCAGAACAAAGAAATCGACAGAGACGCGTCAAAGGGAAGGGGAGAAGACAACGCCCCACTGCATGAGGAGCGTGCCTCACCTGGAGGTAAGAGTGTTGCCCGAGAAGGTGAACTTGCGATGCAGGTACTCCTTCTGGGTCTGATAGTTAAACGTGTGGCCGTCATCTAAATAGAGTTCTCCTTCCGCTGTGCCCTGTGTGGAAGCGGGGGAAAGTCTAGCACCAGGGAGAGCAGAATTTAGAGGGACTGGGGCAGGAGGAACCTGGGGTCCCTCACCTGGGGGCTGATTGCCACATAAAGAGTGATGGGGTCGTCCTTCATGCAATCTGAAGATCGTCTCACCCGCTCCCACCGAGGTACGATGGTTCCCCCACGCTGGAACACAGGGATCTGCAGGAGAGAGAAAAGTCTGGGTCGAGTGCTCCCGACTTAACGTTCACACCTGCCCCTTCCACTTACTTTAGGTCCCCACCTCCCGTCCTCCCAAGGAGCACACGACACTACGGACAGTGGGGGGGCACTCACGCTGCTAAGAGTGACGGGGAGGTACAAGGTCTGGGGGCCGTGATGCTTCTGGTAGCTCTGAAGCTCATACCACACCTAAGGAGGAAAAGGGACCATGGCGGTTTCCCCTCGTGTTTGTTCTTGCCCCAGACCCCCTCTTCCTCTCTCTCCCTTTCCTCTGTGAGCTCACCTCCCCTTGGCCAGGCAGGTACACTTGGACTCCACGGGCCCCAGGCTCTGTCACAGGGTGAACCAATAGAGAGTCTCCTAAAATAGACAGGGAGCTGCGGTCACCTTCAGAGCAGGAGGAGGGCCCCAGCTTCCAGTCTGTGGGCAAGGGATCTCCGTACTACACGCTCCCATAGCCACAGATCTTAATCCCTTCCCAGCATTCTCACCTAGCATGTACTGATCATCTTGGCCAAAGGTGGTCACATCCTTTGGATACTGCACCCACATGGGCCTGCGAAGTAAGAGGATGGGAGAGTGAAACTGAAGTACTGAGTGGATGTCCATACGTCCCCGTCCTTCTCCCAGCCACTCTTCTGTTCCCAACCCACGGCACTGCCCCTCTCACCTCATGACAGGATGGCCATCGCGGTGAGCACGATAGAAGAGGGTGTACCAAAAGGGGAGTAGGGCATAGCGTTGGCGCAAGGCATCTCGGGTTGGCCCCAGGTACTCGGGGGGCAGCAGCCAGGGTTCTCGCCGGCCTGTGTCCATGTGTGAGTGTGCCCTGTAGAATGGCTGATAGGCGCCTATCTGGTACCAACGCACAATCAGCTCTGGCTCAGGGTTCTTGAAGAAGCCACCCACATCCGCTGGCAGACAGAAGACGAGACGGAGATGAAACGAGACTGGTAGAGAAGGTGCGCCATCCCCCCACCTCTTGGGCGTTCCCAGCCAGTGACCTCCCCCTGCAGCCCCTCTTTCACCCAGGTCCCCATTTCTCACCCCCACAGAAAGCAAGCCCCACCAGCCCCAAGCTGAGGCACATGGGGATGCTGATTTTCAGATGGTCCCACTCTGCCGCATTGTCTCCTGTCCAGACGGCTCCTGGGAAAGGACGCAGAGAGAGAATGCCACAAATAGGAGCTTGGAGAGGGGAAGCAGGCCCAGCCTTTCAGATCCACCCAACAGCTCCCCCTGCAGCTCCGCAGGGCGCCACAGGGTGGGCTGTCCCACCGGGGTCTCCTGGCACGGCGCCCTCACCCACTTGCTGACTGCTCCTAGGAGGGGTGCTCCCACTCCCCATGCGGCCTCCTGCTCTCCCTTCCCCCCACCCTGCCCCCTTCCCTCGGATCTCACCAAAGCGCTGAGAGCCGGCGAAGAAGGCCCTGGCGAGCACAAATGGCCGCTCCACCCCTCCAGAGCGTCGTATGAGCCCCTCTGCTGTGGCCATGTGCTGAGGGGGCACAGAGAAAGCTGTGGTGAGGGCAGTGCCGCAGCGGGCCCCAACCCAACAGGACCCATGGCTCGAGGCCCCCCAAAAGCCTCACCACATAGAAGCCATAGATGTTGTGGACATCCCGGTGCTCCCAGCCTCCGTGGTGCCGGGCGTCCTTGAGCATGGTGACCTCGGGGCCACTGAATACCGACGGTTCATTCATGTCATTCCAAACAAAGAGATTTGAGGCTGAGCCCTAGAAACAAAAGGAAGAGAACCAGGGCTCAAGGAAGCAACACACAGCATTTCTAAAAAATGACAAATGCTACAGATGCAGGGAAAGCAAGCAACAAACTGATGCAAACAATGTACATGATGACCAGAAAGACTTCGCAAGCCCCTGAGCAGTGCCTGGGCAGGACTAAAGACTGATAACGGCATGGGCCTCCCATCACTCAGTAGAGCTGGGAACTGGGTCTTTTCAATGTGACCAACGACACGGTATCTTTTTCTCGATGATGCTTGTTACAAGGGAGGTCTGAAGGGAGCAACAGATGACAAAGAAAGGAAAATCATCAACAAAATGTGCAGAAGAAAACAAGGACATCCCAAAAGGAACACAGACTGCGCCCTCTGGATAGAACCTAGAACCACAAAGCAGAGGCTTGGTGAATTGGCTCCTGCTTGTCTGGACAGCCCTGCAAAGACTTGTGCTTGGGAAGCTTCACTTCCCTGCAGGCCCTGGGGTGCCTAGCCCTCCATGACGGTCCAACCCACCAAGGCCAGGGCAAAGTAAGGAGTCAAGCGCCTAGGCACGGAGGGTCATGGATGGGACGGGGAGGGAGGAGACAAGGACGGGCGGAGGGGGCACCCACCCTCATCCTACCTCATATTTGTCAAAGCTGAACATGTTTGCCCACCACTCCCTCATCTTGATGTCTGTGAAGTCAGGGTAGCCCACAGAGCCTGAAGAAGGTCAAAAGCAAGGGTCACCCCCTGGGGTTAGGGGCTGGTGACACACCCATGTCAGCCCAACCTCCAGCCACACTGGGACCCCACTCCTCTCAGCTCTGCCAGTCCTGGCCAGACCTTCCCGCCTGACCTGGCCAGCACCATCCCTCGTAGTCAGAGCCATCTCGGGTCTTGACATACAGTCCCAGTGATCGCAATTCCTCGTGCACCCGGTATCCCGAGTCCACCTTGATGTGGGGGTCCACAATGGCCACCAGCTAGGAATAGGGAAGACCAAGAGGTCAAGGGCTCTCCACCTGGGACCCCCTGAAAGTTGTCAGACTTCCCCTCATGGCCAGCTAGCTCTCTTACCTTACGTCTTTTGCTGGCCAGATGTCCCAGCATGGCAAGGGGCTGGGGAAAACGGCTCGAGTCCCAGGTGAAGTAGCGTTTGCCATCAGCATGTTCAATGTCCAGCCAGATGACATCATAGGGGATGTCATGGTTATCAAAGCCCTGGTCCACTTCAATCACATCAGCCTCATCTCGATAATTCCAGCGGCTCTGGTGGTAGCCGAGAGAGAAGAGTGGGGGAAGGGCCTGGGTCCCTGTGGGAGCGGGGAAGGATTGTGAAGTGACAAATGAGGCCAGAACCAAAGCACGGCTGGGACCAAGAACTGAGTGCGAGGCTCAAGATCAGCCCTAAACCAGCAATCCAAGACACGTAAACGGGGGGGGGGGGGCGCGGCCTGAGAAAAAGTATTTTCCTCTCATCTATCTCCTGGCGGGAGGAGGGGATTATGGATGTGAAACAACTTTCAAGGGCGGCCCAAACTGGGCTGAATGAAGAACCACAGAGCAGAGGCTCGGTGAATCGGCTCCTGCTTGTCTGGATAGCCCTGGGAAGCTTCACTCCCCTACAAGGCCTTGGGGCGCCTAGCCCTCCCTGACAGTCCAACCCTTCTCTCTCATCTCTGGACGAGACTGTGGATGTGCAAGGACTAAGGGGCTGCCCCAACACACCTGACGTGACTGACGGCTCCTACTGAGCTGCCTTGTTATCACTCTTTGTTGTAAGAGATGGTTCATGAGATAGAGAAGAGGAAAGGATATGTATGGATGTAAAGGTGACGTAAAAAATACAAGATGTCATCACAAAATCAAATTTAAACAAAAGAACAAGAATTCTAGGGATGCGGTCAACTAGGCACCATGGGATTTGAGAAGGTGAAGCACTCGGTACATGCAAAGGGCTGCTGTTCCGACACTTAAACCAGGAGGCTAAAGCTAGGCAGGACCCCACCTGTAAGACTGGTGTACTGACGGAAGATGTCTGAGATCGTGGGCCCAAGGAGTAAGAACACGTCAATGATGCCGCTCTCTGACATCCAGCGCACATCAGTCTGGGGTGTCTCCCCGCCACCTTGCAGGTAATCTAGCATCTTCCCAAACAGCGTCTGTCCCAGGGGGACCCGGAATTAGATACTCCCTGCCTACCAATTTCCACAAGGGGGAATCTGAGTAATCATTCTCTAGGAAAAAATGTCCAGGACCTCCTTCCACAGTGTTGTCTGACGGGCTCTGCCAGAGGGCCTGGTTGAGAAGTGGACTTCTTCCTCCCACCCAGGAATCACACATCTTAGCTACTCCCTTTGGGCCCAAACAAGTCGTCCCTGCGTTATATGCCCAGACTGTGTTGACCTCAAGTGGTTGTTTCCTATCACCCCAGTCTCCCCCTCACCTTTCCTGCTGTATTAGAGGATATATCAACCCATGTCTCCGCTGCATTGAGCCAGAAGATGCCAAGGTCTCGGTGGACGTTGTGTGCCAGGAGCACGGGTACTGAGCCATACAAGGCCATAGGGTTGTAGAGCTCATACTGGAACACATCGAGGTTGTAGAGTCGATACGGCTCCCCACCCCTGCAAAGGCCACAGCATCAGAGCTGCCCCAGAGCAATCGTAGGGTGACTGCTCAGATGACCTCTCGAGAGCAGCTAGCCAGGATGGAGCTCCTCCAGCCTCAGGCTCACATCTTCAAGCTGTGCACGCTTCTTCCCTTGCCCTCCCTACTCCCTTCTCTCTGCTTGCGACTCACTCAGTGACTTTCAGTCTCAGGTTGTCTGCATGTTCTGGGATTCCATACACATGTTCCATTCCAGGCAAAGAGAAATCCAGACCCACTGATGTGGGGCCTGTAAAAGGAGGCAGGAGGTCAGGAGTCAAGGGAAGGCCTTCCTGCCCACCCACTTAGTGCCTCTCTCCCTCTCGCTCAGATCCCCTTCTTAACACCCCTTCCCTCTCACCATAAGGCTTGCTGTCTGGGTGGGTTTTGAACATCTCCTCCCAGGCCCCTGGCTCATCACTGTCGTCCTTTTCTTTGTTCTCTTCCGGCTGCAAGAGAAAGAAAGGGGATCCCAGCCCAATCAGGTGGCCCCAGTTCTGTCCAAACCCCTCAGTCGGTCTGAGCTGAGGCTCACCCCTTGCCTCACCTTGTCCTCTTTCCCAGCAGCCTCCTCATCTGGGGTTCCATCCCCCTCAGCTGGTTCCTTTGGTCCCTGCCTGGAAGGTAGGAGAGTCGTCTGCTCCAGTCCAAGAGGAGAGGGGATGAAGGTTTTTGGTTTTGATTTTGTTTGCTTGGGGGCTGGGGGGAGCACGGGGACAAGGAAGGAGTAGCGCTCCAAGGGCCAAAGGAGTAGAGGGCCTGAGCTTCACTCAGTCATGGAGTGCATCCCCAGGGAACATATCCTCATACAAAGGCAGGGCTGGGAGTGTGCCAAGAGGTGAAAATTAGGGAAGGAGGGAGGGAGGGAAGGAGGGAAATCATCAAGGAAAACAAGTAATGTGCTTTTTACGTGTCCATACAAGCCACTGTAGAGCATTAGGAAAGAGGGAAAGGAGGGAAGGAGGCAGCTGAACAGAAGCATAAACCTGGTTGTTACTGACTCCCTCCCTGGGTCTCCCTTTGCCCTTCTGCAGCAATGCAAAGGTGAAGGGCCGTGGTGAGGGGGCCCCTAAAGATCCTCCTGGAGGGATCTAGACACTGGGGGGGGCACCTGGGGGGACACCCTGACCAACTCCTGCTCCATCTTGCCTGAAGCAGAGAGGACAAAACTCCCAGCATCCAACTTCCTGGCCCCGGGTTCCCAGCACTTCCCAGCCCTCCTGGAACAGAAGGGGGCTGAGGTGGGGACTGTGTATGTGAGTGTACGAGTGTCTGTGAGTGTGCGTGTGTTCACATGGGGTGCAGGGCAGAGAATGGGACGGAGGGATAGGGATTAAGGAACAGATACAGTACCAGTGGCCGTGGATTTACCTAGAGAAAAGGTTCTTGATCTTATCCCACATGCTACCGAACGTGAGACTAACTTTATCCGAGAAACTGGGGCAGGAGGAGAGGGGAAAGGAAGGGGAGGGCAGAGGGGCAGGGGAAGGAGGCACAAAACCAACACAAAAACAGAAACACAAAAGTGAGTTTCAGTCGACGAACATCCAAGACGGAAAAACCAACCAAACAAAAAAAATTCATTTAAAAAAAGGGGGGGGGGAATAAATCTGGGAAATAAGAGACAGCTCCAGGAGAGGGGTGAAGTCACTCCGAGCCCAGGAAGGGCAGGGACAGTCTCCTGGCCAGCGCGCATTTTCCCAAAGCTTCTTGACTCCCCCTCCCATCTCCCTGTCTCCTCCATCCCTCCCCAAGAAACCCCAGGGGCCCAGACTCTCTCAGAGGCTGCCCTGCAGCCCTTTCTGGTAGGCTTCCCATCCCTTTACTCACGAATTCCTGGGGAGCCTCTGGTGCTCAAAGACCATGAGTCCCCGGGCGTTGACACTGAGCACAAGGCTTCGATGCTCCAGCAGGTCCAGTCGGAAAGGCCTTCCTGTCAGGATGATTTTGTAGGGCCCCTCGGCCACAGTCAGCTCTACACTGTTCTCATCTCGGCCAGAGACAGACAGCCTAAGGACAGCACCAAAAGGAAGCAGCAAAGAAGAAAGGTGTTTGGGGGGGTGGGGGCGGGCGATGAAGCTTTGAAGAGGGACACAGACCCCCGCAGAATTACCGAGCTGTGGGGGGGTCTGCCACCAAGACATCGGGCACCCGGTAGCGTGGCCGGAGGGGCTCAAGCTCATCGATCCGGATCCTGGTCATGTTCCCTTGCAGTCCTTGCAGCTCCAACAGCAACACCACCTGCACAGGACGGAGGTGAGGTCCTCACGCTGAAGCACTCCGTCCCAGCCCCCGCTGCCCCCACTCCCTGTCAGGTGCTTCCAGACCTGTCCCTTCACACCACCTCTGACCTTGGTGCCTTCATTGACCAGCTGGACTGCGAGGGCATCAGGGGCCAGTTCGAGAGAGTCCAGCAGGGCACGGTAAGGGGATGAGCCGGGTTGAATGCCACGCTGACGCCTGCGTGGAAAAGACAGCTTATGAGTGTCTTCAGGTCCCCACGTTTGGCAGGGGCACTTCCTAGATGCCCCCCAGGCCCTTGCCCGTCATTTTTCTCCCTAGGCTCCCTCAAACTCCATACTTGCAGAAAGAACTCTGGTCACAGGTCTTAAAGTTGCTTCTGTCCACGGCGAAGGCTGTCGAAAGGCAGAGCCCTAGAAAAGCCAGGGCTAACTCTGCCCAGGACCTGAGAAAGGAAATGAGGAAGTGCTTAGCACATTCAGAGGGGAGCAAGGAAGAGGCCAGCAATTCACACCCTTTCAATGGCCCCAGACCACAGGTTCCCAGCCTGGCAAATAAAAGTTACCCGTGACGTCCAGAAAACGTCTGGCAAAAGTCTACGTTATCCTGTTGGAACTAATTCATTTTTTATTTCCTATGTCATACGGATAACTAAAACATTGCAGGGGAAGGCTTACTGAAAGCCAAGGGGTATGGAGAAAGGTGGGAAACTCTGCCCAAGGCCAGATCGCAGCAGAGGAGGGCAGGTCGGGGTTCCCTCTCCTACACGGGAGGGAAGAGGTAGGTCCTCGATCTTTTGTTGTGGTGTTGACTCGGGTTACATCAGCGTTTCCAGGGAAGGGGCCAGCAATAAGCCTTCCCAAGGGAAGCCTTTCTACCTAAGGCGTCCCAGGGGCGCCTGGGGCTGCTGACAAGGATTCCCAGGGGCCAGGGCTTCCAAGCCAACCCCAGACAGGCCCGGTCACTCTGGTCAGCTCATCTGGGGTTGGCTGGACTCAAAGCCAGGCTTTCTGCCGCCTGCCCCCACGGCTGTCCTCTGTCATCATAAACCACAGGTAAAAAGTGAAGTTTTACAGAACGCCCACAGGCCTGTGACAAGCGGCCCACCCCCTCTGCCATCAGATACGCAAAGGGCTACGTGGCCCCTCTGCTCTGGACAGTACGGAACCAGGAAGTCAACGTGAACAGAGCCGGGGGTCCGGGCAAAGACCCCACGCCCCAGAGCAGGGTCTAAGCCTGGCTCCCCACACCCCACTTTCACCAGACCCCAGGGGAGCAACAGCTCACGTGCATCTACTCTGGGGTTACGTAAGCTCCCACCCAAAAACTGCCTGTGCCCCCATTTTACAGATGAGGCAGGAAGCCCTGAGTTCAAATCCCGCCTCAGACGCTCCCTAAGCTGGGGTGACCCTGGCTAAGTGCCTCGATTTCCTCATCTGTACCCCCTCTCAGGGCCGGTGAGGATCAAAGGGCCCGGCCCGGAGGAGGGGTGGGTGGCTTCTGGGGGTGTCTACACTCGCTGGATGTCACCGTGGTTCTCAGGCCAGCCACGCTGGACCCTCAAGGCTGGCCGGCCGGGAAGGCGCAGGACAACCCCCTGGACCGTCCCCTCCGCCCCACTCCGGACTCTGGCCTCAGCCCGGGTCGGCCCTCGGGAGTCGCAGCCGGTCCCCCCGCCCCCCCGCCCCGCGTCAGCCTGGGCCGCCCCTCGCCCCAACCCCACGGGCCCTTCCTGGGGTTCAGTTTCCCGAGGTGTTAGGTGGGGGGGGAGGGGGCCGTCGGAGCCGGGCCGAGCTCTGTCCCACGCTCCTCACCGCCTCCGACGCGCCGCCGCCGCCATCTTGTGCCGGGCTTGATCCTTGACCCCCGGCTCTCCCCTCCTCCCGTCTAGCGTCACGCAGGGACACGTGGCTCCGCGCGCCCCCCCCCGTCCCGGGAGGTGATTGGCCACCCGAGAGCAGGGAGCCAAGCCGGCCTATAGGCGAAGCGCAGGTTGTGATGGACGGGGGCCGGGAGGCGGGAATAAGGAGCAAAGCACCCTTCGATAGGAGTGCTCTCAACCTGCTTCGCTGCCATTGGCCCGTTTCCTCCGTCCCAGCCCGCCCAGCGCCCTCCCCTCCTCCCCGGCCCCCGCCAAAGTCTGGAGCCCCCCCACAGCGCTAGGAGGGCCACACCAGTCGGGTCTTCGCAAACTGGACAATCTTTATTTATTGGGCAGCACACGATCAGAGTGGGGGGTGGCACAGACCTCGGCCCCTCCCCGGCCCCCTAACCCCGGGGGGCAGTTGCAGCTCACATCCCTGGCCTCTGCGGCGTGGGCCAGGCCTGGAACCTGCCCGAGAACAGCCCTAGGCGGTCAATGTTCCTGTGCAGGACGCTGTGCAGGACGGCCAGGTGGGGCCCCCCAGCTCCACCACCCTCCCTGGAGAAGTCCCTGGCCAAGCGGCCCCTCTCGGGCTGGAAAGCAAACTTCTGGGGCAGGGGGCCGTGCTCTCGCAGGAAGCCCCAGACGCTGAGCAGCAGCAGCCGCACCTCAAAGGGCGCCAGCTGGCTGAACACCTCGTGCATGTTGCCCAAGGTCGGGGGCAGCAGGCTCCCCTCGGCCATGACAGCCACCAGAGTACACGAGGCCTCCAGCTGCCAGGGGGACTGGGAGGTGTCCAGGTGGCGAGAGGCCTCCCAGTGACCCAGGAGGGCCGCCAGGAGCCCCCTCAGCAGGACGGAACAGTAGCACAGGGCCGGGGGTGCTGCAGCCACCAGCTTCAGCAGCTCAAAGAGCAGCGGGTGCTCCCGGAATCGGCGACTGATGCGGAGGTCCCGCTCCACTGTGGTTCGAGCGTGATCCTCAGGGGGCCAGGCCAGCTCGGCCCCGGCCGCATCTGGGCACACGCTCTCCACCAAGGTAACTGCCACCGCTTTGGCCGCCTCGGGGCTCAGCGCCGGGGCTCCCCAGCAGTCACCGGTTCCGGTCCCACCTGAGACACTACAGCAGTGCACCAGCAGGCGAAGGAGGCTCTGCGTGTTGTAGGTCACTTCCTGTGCGCTGCGGGAGTGGGTCGACCTGGGAGGTTTCAGGCCCCGGCCGATGACTCCAGCGTGAAACACTGACCAGACGCCCCCGGAGCCCGGCACCGCTGCCGTGTGCCGTCTGTTGGTCTCCAGCAGGTAAGCAGAAGCTGAACTGGATGAGGCAGCGGACACATTCTCACTTCCCCCTTCCCCTTTCCCCCCAAACAGCTCGGCATTTCCCCGATGCAAAGCTCCCTCTACCAGAAGCTGGAGGACGGCTTTGAAGCCGGCGGGGGAGGCCTGAGAGAGCCGTGCGAGCAGATGCGAAGCCGAGGAGACACCCGGGGGCCCATGAAGCCTCAGGGAGGCAAAGAACCGAGACACGCCAGCCCTCACCAAGCTCAGGAGCTGGGCAGGGAGCAGGGCGCCCTGAGGAAAGGGGCAGATGGCCAACAGGGACGCAGCTGCTTCAGTGACTTCATCTTCGGGATGCAGCAGGAGCGGAGCCAGGTCAGGAAGCTGGGCAGAGACCGCTTCGCCAACACGGGCCCCCAGGGCGGCGGGCCCCTCACCACCCTGCTGCTCCCAGCCCACCAGCAGGGCCAGGTTCCGGAGCAGCCTGGCCGTGAAGGGGGGGAGCAGCGTCCCCGCGTGGACGCGAGCCAGGCAACTGCACAAGGCCAAGGGCAGCAAGCCAGAGAGACTGACCGCCAGCCCGGCATAGAGCTGTGTGGCCAGGCTCAACTCTTCTGGGGTTCGGGCCCGACTCAAAAGATGGCCCAAGGCCTCCGGTCCACAGCTGGGCCGCGTATAGACAGACAGCAGCCCCAGGAGCTGGTGCTGCCAAAGGAAACGCTTCCGCTCCAGCCTCAGGGTCTCCCCACAGAGCTCCCCAACGTGGCTCCGCAGGGCATCCAGAAAGGGCACCGGGCGGGGTGGGGGTGGAGGGCCCAGGACCCCGTCCCCAGGGGACCCTCCCCGATTATGCACAAGCTTTTGGAGGTGCAGCAGCAGCAACTGGATGAGCCGGTCACAGGCCTCCCGGACAGCGTCGGGGACGGCCAGGCCAGGGGGCGTGATGACGGACGCCGGCATGGCCGTGTCCACCAAGAACTGCAGGAGCCGGTAAGCCCCGGCCCCGGACGCCTGGCTGACCAGGTGGACTGCCAGGCTCAGCATGTTATCCAGCTCCTCTCGGCCAAAGACCTGGAGATGCTGCTGAAGCTGGCTCAGGACCGACGGGGGCTTCAGGCAGTCGACCAGCTCCCCCGAGACGGTGCCCAGCAGGGCTGGCGACATGACCGCCAGCTGCAGCAAGAAGGGCACCGTGGCCTGCAGGGAGGGGTCGCCCCCACGCCCCCCAGAGCCTGCTGCCAAGCTCTCGTGGAACATCCGAAGGAGCTCGCGGCGGATGCTGTCCCCATGGCGTGAGGCCAGGTGCCCCAGAATCCCCACCACAGATGCAATCTTAGGCATGCGCTTCTCTCCAGGGACAGAGGGGGCTGAAGGGAAGACATCTGCTGATGGGGCCGGAGGGGGGCCGCCTGCTCCCCCACTTCCCCCTCCAGCCCCACCATGGACACAAAAATCCTTGAGTCCACACGACAGGACACGAGAGATAATGGTACCCGGGAACGAGGAGCCGATGTGGGCCACGACCCAGTCAAAATGGGGAGAGTGCTGGACAGACGTGTCCAAGAGGGCGTCCACGCAGGCATCAGGACAGCTCCCGATGAGGGCAGACAGGCACTGCACGTAAATGTCCATCAGGGTCCGGGTAGCGCAGCACCCCATCCACAGCTGCAGCAGCTCGTTCAGGGAGCCCGCGGCGTGGGGCACCCGCTGGTAGCGGCCGGAGTACTTGCTGCTCAGCTGTCCCATCAGGTCAATGGACCACGCGCTGACCACGGGGGCCCAGGCCTTGGGATTGGCCCGGATGAACTCGGAGAGCACCTGCTGCACCTCCTGAACGACATCCTCCAGGCCAGGACCCCCGGCGGGAGCGTGGGAAGGGAGCGGCGCGCGGAGATGCTGCGGGCCCGCCGTGGCACTGTCATCCAGCGTAGCCAGGTGGGCCCGGACGCTCTCGTCAAAGACGCTCCTCAGGTGGTCCAGGACGGCTGCCCGGGCCGGGGGCAAGGAGCGCAGCAGGAGGAGGCCACAGCGGGCATGGTCACGGGCAGAGAGCTGATGGCCCAGGACGGGGTCAACACCAGTCAGAAAAGCCTTGATTTCCTGAGCCAGCTCCTGGGCGCTGTGAAGGAGGAGAGAAAGGGGGGGTCAGGCAGGCCTCACCACAAACCCAGCGGGGGTTTCCATGCGATCACCAAGGAGAGCTCGTTGGAGCCTCACCCGAACAGGAGTCAGACTGCCCTCTCTGAACTTCCCCAAGCCTGGTCAGCCCACCCGACCTGCAGAACTCTCCTGAGTGGGGGCCCACCGCTTTCCCCAAGGCAGCACCCTTTACTTTGGGGCATTTCTAATTGTGAGCACGCACTTCCTTGTATCGAGCTGACTGGGCCTTATTCTTGCAAACGTGAAGAGGGCCATCACAATCCTGCCTCCCATTCACCCAGGACTGCTGTTCTCCAGACCACAAGTGGTCTCTTCCTTTGATCTTCCCACGGGATGGTTTCCAGTGCCCTGATCCCCTGGCCACTCCGACATCCCTCCTAAACTGTGATCCCCAGAACTGAACACGGTGCTCCACGTGGCATCACAAAATTATGAAATGGCAGACCTGGAAGCTCCCTGGGTCCAGCTCCCTCATGTTAGAGAGGGGGAAACTGAGGCCCAAAGAAGGGAGGTGCTCCCAACCACGGAGCTGCCTCCTTCCCCTACACCGTGATAAAGATCCAGGCTAATATGCAAGAGCCCCAGACACCATCCTGTTCAATACCGCCATTTTACAAATGAGGAAACAGTCCTGGAGAGCGGGAAAGACTTGCCTAAAGTCACACAGCTAGTCTAGAGCAGATCTGAAGCCGCACTTTCCAACTCCAAATCCATCAGGGCATAACCACTGGGCCACACTGCTTCTCCTGGCCTGGATGGTCTTTAAGGTTCCTCTCAGCGCTGACCGCAGAGGTGGAGGGCTGAATTTGACCTCAGAAACCTTGGGTCTTGGCTCTCCTACTTATTCCCTGGGCAGCTTGCCGAGGGTCCCTGAGAGGGCATCCCTAGGGCCATTTTGACGGTGACTCTCGAATCAGTGGAAAGAGTCTAGTCAAAAGCCCCCAGTGTGTCCTCACTTCCCAACCTCTAGTGAATCCACCCAATAGAAAGAAAGCCTTCTCCAAGGAGGCCAAAGATCTTTTCATTGCCAATGGTCCCTCCCCTCCTCTTCATCCTTCCAGACCTCAGGGAAGCTGTGGACCAGCTTGCTCCTCCCACACCACCCCCTAGGCCTGGCCCCCTGGATGTGGGTGTGTCCCAGGGCTCCACCTAGGCTCCCAGCTTCACAGATTCAGGTTTCGCTGACCATCTCTGTGCTGGTGACTCTCCAAAGCTCCAGACCTCCGACGGCAGCTGTCCGACGGACATCTTGAACTGGACATCCGGAAGCGCTACACTACTGAGTCTGGCCTTTGCCTCTTCCTTCTGCCCCCCCCTCCACGGCTAATTGGCTGCCAAGTCTTTGCCATCTCGATCCACAGCAGCTCTGGCATCAGTCCCCTTCTCTCCCTTGGTACCGAGTTCGGACTCTGCTCACCCCTCCACGGACTAACTGGACCTCGCGCTTCCAGTCCGTCCCCCACATAGATGCCTGGTCCAGACACTCACCTGCTCCAGATCCCTCCTGGGCTCCCTAGTGCCTCCAGCACACACCACCAACTCCCCCAGTTTGCACTGAAGCCCCCCAACACCGGCTCCACACTACCATTCCCTGCTCCCCTTTACAGACGAGGCGACACTCCAGGCCAGCCGCCCCCGTGGGGTGCCCTCACCTCTGCCCTCCTGTGCCTTTGCACTGGCCGTCCCCAACGCCTGGGCTGCCCTCCTTCCTCCCCCCCAGCACCTCTAGGAACCCGGGATCCAGAGCACCTGCTGGGGGGAGGGGTCCCGGGGCCCTGAACCAGGCTCTGCCGTTTGCCCTCGAGGCCCTTGGACTAGACCCTCCCTCCGCGGGCCTCAGTTTCCTTGGATGTAAAAGAAGGGAGCCGAACTGGCCGCCCTCTGGCTTCCGCCCCTCCCCCCCACGCGGCCTCAGTTTCCTCGTCTGTACAATGGGGCGAGATCGACGATTTCTAAGCGCCGACTCCGGGTCGGCGTGATTGCTTGCGCCCACGCACCTGAGCGGGGACGCGGGCCCGTGGGCGGCGGGCGCGGGTGGGGCCGGGGGCCCGGAGGGATCGCACAGCGCCGACATCCCGAGCCCGGAGCCTGCGGCTGCGTGGGTTGGAAGGGCGGCGGGGGCGGGAGCGGCGGAGCGAGGGGACGCATGCGCGCTGGGCGGCCAGCGAGCGGCGGAACCCGCCGGGGGGGGGGTGGCACGCAAAGGAGTCCGACGCCGCCTGAGGCCGGGGTAGAAGCGTTCCGCGGCCCGCCCGGTCCCTGCAAGGCTGAGGAAGGAGGGGCGGGGTTGAGGAGGGAAGGGGCGGGGCCATCCTCCCCGAAGCCAATCCATCAACGTCAGAGCGGGCAGCCCCGCTAGGCCGACCCCTCCATTTTACAGCCTGGGAAACTGAGACCCTGGCCACCCACTGTGAGCGAATTCTAGAAGGAAGAACGTCGCACGGGACTGAGGTCTGACAGACCTAGCCTCGCTTTCCGCAGCGCTCTGCCACATTCATCCTCCCTACACGCACGGGACACGATAGGGCGCCATGTATGTAAGGATGTCCTGTACGGTGGGGATAATAGCACCTCCTTCCCAGGATGGTCGTGCAGCGACTTAGACCGTCATCACTTTAGGATCTTCATAAATGCTTGATTATCCATTGTGTTTGGGGGCTCGCGGAGAGAAAGGGAGTAAACTGGCGCCACAGAACAATCTGTCATCTCCCCTGGATCCACCCAAGGGATTGGCGGTGACTGAGCCTTCCTGTTCTTTGAACACATTTTTTCTTTGGACAATTTGCTGAGCAAAAAAATGCAACAAAATTGACTCATTTGCTTTTAAAATTGAACACATGAAACAAAAGTTGTTCAATATGTAACACCAGCTTCACGAGTAAATGCCACAGATATTTTAAAATGTGTATCAATTCCACATTAAGGAGGAAAGGAGGGGACCATAACGGTCAGGGATGGGAAGGACTGACAAGCGACAAGGTCAGGAAGACCTGAGGTTTGACACTCAGACACCAACAAGTCACCTGATCTCAGCCTCAACTTCTTTATCTGTAAAATGAGGTGGATATGGCACCTGCCTCACAGAAGATATAAAAACGGGTTCAGGGCAGGAGCTGGAGATCTTGCCAGGGCCACAGAGCGAGGGAGGTACGCACATTGTGGGTCCTGATGTGATAAGGTAAAGTGCCCCTTTTACACCTTGCTTATTTTCTCGGGATTCAGGTTTTCAGATCAATTGTTCGGAGTGGTTAGTGTGCCTGATTTAACTCAGCTCTTTAACCACTCTTCTGGAGCCCGTACAAATCCAATCACTTAACAAAATCATTGCTTAAGCATCTGGGGACAAGGACGGTATAATGCCAGGTCTGTTCTCCATAAACTGACACACACACACACACAACTCAACAAACCAAAACAATATGGGAAGGGGGCAGGGAGGGGAGAGTGAGGGACAAGAGGGAAGGAAAGAAGCATTTATTAAGCACCTACTATGAGCTGAGGACTGTGCTAAACAGTCAACAAATATTCATCTTATTCGATCTCAGTGGAGCGTGGGACAAACTATACAAGGGGTGAGCAAAGATTCATGAGGGCAAGGAGGCTCCTGGTGGAAATGGGGCTTTGAAGACTGGGTATCGCTATGTCATCAACAAGAGTCTTGAGTGATAGGACCCTGCCTCCTACTCCCCAGAACATTTCCATATAATGATACCTAGCATTTACACATCCCTTTAAGGACCCACTTTACAGATACTATTCTCAACCTATCTTTACAACCACCCTGTGAGACAGGTGCTATTATCCCCATTTTACAGGTAATCAAGGGAGCCGGGTAAGTGACTTGCCCAGGGTTATTAATATGAGGGAGAATTTGAACTCAGGTCTTCCTGACTTCCAATTCAGTGCTCTAGCCACTGAATCACCTACCTGCCTTCTTCTACTCCTACCATTTTGTTTGATTTGAACAACTGCGGTCAGGAAGTAGGTCAGGAAGTTTATAGATAAGAACATTGAAAAAGAAAGGACTAACCCAGATCTCCTTGAACGTAGGGCTGTGAGAGGCTACCTGTCAGCAAATCATAGTCTGAAACACTAAACCCTCAGTCTTGGGGGCAGGGATTGTCTCAGGGGTTGCCTCTGGCTTTGCTCCCTGGTTCTTACCCTATCCCCCCCTTTTTTTTTTGAAGGCTTCATAAATAATTTATTCCATTTGAAGTTTTTTCTGTCTTTTTTTTTTAAGTATAAACTATCCTCCTCTTTCCACAGACTCACATAGACACTCCAGCCAGAACTCAAATGACTTTATTACAAACTTATCACTACTGAGCCATTGGCCTCCCTTCTTTCCTCCCCAGGAAGCACAGGAAACAGTATCTGACACTCCCCTGCCCCCAGCAAAGGGACTTGAATCATGAGGCATAGGAGGGGAGGGAAGGGAAAGGTCTGAGGCATGTAACTTTAGAAGCCTATGGTGGGAAGGGGGCAGCTAGGAGGCAAATAGGATAGAACACCAGCCCTAGAGTCAGGAGGACCTGGGTTCTAATCCAGCCTAGCTGTATGACCCTGGGCAAGTCACTTAACCCCAATTGCCTCCAAAAATTAAAAAAGCCTATCATTCTTGTCCTAACTGAAGGGATGGCCTCTTCTGAGGTTGTCTGGGCTCAGCTGTCTCGTTCTAGGTCTTCCATCTCCACATCCTGGATAATTCCAGTTTTCCTTTTCTTCTGCCATCTAGGCTGTGCCTCAGTGGTCCTGCCTGGCTTCAGTGGGGCTTCCACTGACCGAGAAGTGAGGGGAAAACGTTAGACAGCAAAATGCCCTCCAACCTCTTCTTCAAGAGGCCCCAGTCCTTCCCCTGCTCCCAGCCTCCCAGGCCCTCCATCCTCCTCACCCTCCATGGCAGCCTTCTCCTTCTGGGCATGCCTGATCTGTTGCAAAAGTTTCCTTCGCTTCTTCCCAGACAGGGTAATATTGGCCCGGGCACTGGAACTAGAGGGAAGGAGCAAAGAAGCTACCTCCAGGGGCAGCTCTGTCACTGCCTCCTACAGGAAGCCTTTCCTGATTTCCCCGTCCCTTTCCAGGGATATCACTTTGCATTTTATGTATGTTTTGAATTTCCTTATATGTATACACCTTGTATGTATGTATATGATATGTATACCCCCAAAGAAGGTTCCCATTTTTGCCTCTATCTCTGGCACATAGTAAGTAACAATAGCTACTTCCTGCTTATTGCCTGAATTCTCCAGGGGCCTCCAGGTTTCTGGCTTAGCCCTCCCCTAGTTGGGGGTGGGGCACAGATGGCAAGGTCAGCATGAGCTCAGTCTCCTGGTCCAAGGTGGTGGGGAGGCAGGGAGTCCCTTGCAGACAGGTTGAGGAAGGCTCAAGCAACATAATGTAGGCAACTAACAGGGCCACTCGTGTCAGGGGGATGGGATCTTAAGAAGCCACTGGACAGACCAGCTGGTCCACACCACCTCCACTCACGCCCCATCAACAAAGCTCTGAGAGACTCCTAGGCGCTCAATGCCATGCTTGAGACAGCTCTAAAACAGCCTTGGGACTCTAAAAAGCTGACCGAGGTACTGGGAAATGCAACAGAGAGACAGTCGTCACCCAGCCAAACAAGGCCCTCTATCTCCCATCACCTCGCCTTTGCACTGGCCATCCCTTAATGCCGGGAATGCCCTCCCTCCGGAGAAAAGGTCTAGGAAGGGCTCAAGAGAGATCGTCAAAGGAGCGGATTGGTCCCAGTGGGAAAGCCCAGGGAGGGAGGGGGTCATGGGGGACTCACGCCCGCTTCTTGAGATGATGGCGAGTAATGAGCCCCTCGTCCACCACCGCCCCGACCACCCGGTGCCGCCGCCGCTGCTCCCGTCTCAGCACCCGGCGCCGTTTGAACAACTTCTTTTTGAGCTCCTGGCAGGGAAGGAGAGGGTAGCACAGTTAGAGGGAGGGGGTGCTCTAGAGCCCAGCCCTCCCGGCCACGCCGCTGGAGGGGGCTGGGGAGGAGCCGGAACCGGGGCAACCGGGGGGGGGCCTGCGCGGGTGGCCCGTGCTGGGCAGGCGCGGCATGGGCCGCAGGGCCACGAGGGCGGCGTGGGCCGGGAGCTAAGAAGACGGCCAGGCCTGGCTAGGGGGCATCGGGTGGGGCCCCGGGCAGTCACCGTCCGCGGCCGGTTGATCTTCCCCCCGGGGGCCCCCATGCTCCAGCTGCCGAGTTCAGCGCAGCCACTCCAGCTTCCGAGGCTCCACGAGAGCGTCTCGCCGCGTCCCGCCCCTTCGGGGGAGGCTCCGCCCCCTAGCAGAAGGCGGCCAATCGGGGGGTAGGGGGGGGTGGGACGGCGGGCCTGCCTATAAATACGGCGCAGGCAGCCGGGGGTGCTCCTTTCCAGCCGGGGAGCCGGTGAGTGTGGCTGGTGTTCCTCCAGTGGAGGGTGCTGTCGGGGGCGTTCAAAGGGAGGGGCCTCGCCTGGGCTCGGGGCTCTCGGAGACACGGCCTCGTGCTTCTCCACATCCCGCCTCCATTTCTTGGCGGGGGCCGGGTGCTCGGTCCCGGCCCCCGTTATGTACGGAGGCAGAGCAAGGGACCCTGGTTCCCCCGGCGTCATGTCTTCGGTGCCGGCGGCTCCCCATCCGCCGGTTCTATCCTCACTCGCCGGGACACCGTCCCTTTTGAGGGACTGAGAGGGGGGGCGTGGCATACTCCCGCCTTTCCCCGCATCCTCGGATGCTCATCTGCTGTGCTTCTGTTTCAGGGCCTTGATCGCCGCCGCCACTAGACCAGGAACGACCGCATTCCTCCTTTCTCCCCTTTGGTCCGCTAATTGAATAAAGTCCACTCCCTGAGAGCAGTCTGGGTCTGACCTTTCTTCCTCGTTCCTTCGGGGTGCGGGGTGGGGAGGGAGCGTTCTGCAACTTGGCTGCGGGCTCAGAATTGGCCTGGCCGTGGTCCCGAACCCTTCCCTGCTCCTCTTTTGGCATTGCGTCCTTCCTCCGAGACTGACCCTGGCGACCTTACCGATGGCACTGCTTCGTAGACTTCTCCACGGGGCGAACAGGGTGAAGCGCTCCTGGCCCGATAGGGATTTGGACGTGGGGAATGTGGGAGGGAAGGAACTGAGTTCCCAGCGCGCGCCCTTGACCGCTGCCCTCTCCCTGTCCCGCCTCTGTGCGGGCTCCCTGGCCGGCAGCTGCCTTTCCGATCCCAGCCTCTGGGACCGCCTCCACGCCCAGGCGCTGCCCGGAAGTCTCCCTAACTTCGACTGGTTTTTTGGCTATGAAGAGGTTCAGGGGCTTCTCCTGCCCCTGTTGCAGAAAGGGACTCCCCAGGGGTCAGCAGTGGCCCCCCTCAAGGTGCTGGATGTGGGCTGTGGGACCTCGGATTTGTGCTCTGGACTTTACACCAAGTGCCCCCTGCCCTTGAATGTGCTCGGGGTGGACTTTTCTCCAGTGGCTGTGTCTCACATGAAGCGCATGCTGGAAGGGCATGGAGACCACCCTGAATTGCACCCCAAGCACCCTGCTTCCCGTCTGCATTTCCTGCAGGCTGATGCCAGGAACCTGGGCTCTCTCTGTCCTTCTGGATCCTTCCAACTGGTGCTAGACAAAGGCACCTGGGATGCTGTGGCCAGGGGTGGCCAAACTGGGGCACAGCAGCTGCTGTCTGAGTGTCTGCGGGTGCTGGCCCCCAAGGGCACCCTAGTGCAGTTCTCAGATGAGGACCCTGATGTCCGCATGCCCTGCTTGGAGCAAGGAGCTGGCAGCAGATTGGTGACAGTCCAGGAACTGGGACCCTTTAGGGGACTCGACTATTTTGCTTACTTCGTACATGCAGTTCAATAAAACCAATCTTCCTCATTTTATTTGTGTGTGAGTTTAGGGGTGGGTGATAACGTTTCCCTTTTGCTGGGGGTGGGGGTTGGGAAGCATAGGGTCTCATCTACCGGCCAGGTTGGTGGTGGTTGGGGTGGAGACCTTGAATGGCCCCAAGATTGAGGAAATAAAGAAAGGAGTCTTCATCTCACTCACCAGAAATCCAGGAGGTTTCACTCTCCCCCCAGGTTTCTTCCTCTTCCTCCTGCTCCCAGTCAGATCCAGGATTGAGGGTTCTTAGAGAGGATCTGGGATCCAAGGGGCACCAAGCCCAGCCTGGGGTGGGAAAACCATGTTGACATTTCCAAAGTGTTTTAAGTTGCCAGAGAAAGAAAGCCCTTTACACTCCACTTTGATTTGATTCTTCCCATCTCACTGTTGAGGAAACAGGCTCAGGTGAAGCCAAGAGTCACCAAGTTAAATTTCTGGGGCAGGATTTGAATCTATGTCTTCCTCTACTCTGCCATTTGGGGTTAAAGAAAATTCTTCCACCTTCATTATTTCCCCTTTGGTTTCCTTCTTTCTCCCACCTAAACAGTTGCTTCCTGCCTATTTTCATTCCTTCCTGGCCCTTCCCCCATTTGTCCCCATCTGTAGGGCTCCCACCCCAATACTTTCTTCACCTGATTCTTCATCTTGGTCCTGGAAAAAGGCCTCATCCTCTTCCTCTTCACTGTCTGATAATAGCAGCTCCTCGGGAGGCCACCTGAGCTCCCCGCTTTCCACCTCATTTGTATCTGTGGCTTCCACGGTGATGGACGGTGGATGGGGCTTTTGAGAAGAAACCTAAGGCAGGGCAGAAGCTGACTCAGAATCCGAAACAAGGAGAGGCAGGGTCTTGGAGGAGGTTCTAGGCCAAAGTGGGAAGAGGGCTTGGAGCACATACCTGAATGTCCTGGTCATCCCACAAGTCCTTGACCTGATTCAGAGGGTCTGGTTTCCAGGGAGAGCCTGGGCTAGTGCTGGGCCAAGATACTTCCTCCTCTTCCTCACTGCTCCTAGGCAGGAAGGCCATCGTGACAGGGTGACAGTGGAATTGTTCCACTCAAAGATCTTCCCAATATGCCGGTGTCCCCCTCTGTCCCCAGACCCTTTATGCCCAGATTCCCACGGAAGGGGAGACTGACTTTGCCCCTGTAATCTCCTTTGGAAACTGGCCCCTTAATCGCATCTGAGGAAAGGAGGCTGCCAAGCAGCAGGGAGATTATGGATCCCAGAGGGGGAGGAAATATTGTGGAAGAGCAAAGTTTGGCACTTGGAAGAAGAAGAGAGGGGGATTGCATGCTATTTTTCCCTTTCCGCACCTGAATACATGGCTCTGGATCCTTTTTGTGAGACCTTTACCATAAAATCAAGCAGCTTTTTGTGTTTTGTTTCACAAAAGGAGGTAAGGGTGGGGGGGATGGGATCTGGGGTCACATTGACATACTTAAGCCCAATCAGACCCTTGCAGAGACAACAGACATAGCTGCCTTAGACTTAATGATTAGATGGTAGGATTTGGGCAAATCCCTATACCTTTCTAAACCAGTTTCCTCATATATAGAATGGTAATACTAATACTTAGAATATAGTCCCTACTTCACAGGGTGGCTATGAGGCCAAGTATTGTACAAACAAATTAATAGAGTTGGAAGGACCTTAAGGATAACTAATCCAACCCATTTTGTAGACGAGCAACCAAGAGTCACAGGAACATGGTCACCAAGCTAGGACTTCATCCCACATCTCCCAACTCCCATCCAGGGGTCTTTAGAATCATAGAGGAATAGAATGTTTTAGAGCTGAAAAAGATTGAGCCTAAAGCCCTCATTTGCAGCAAAGCAGGCTGGCTTACCTGAGGCAACAAGTAAGTCAAACCCTGATCACCTCTTTTCTGACCCACATGGAGATAGCCCAGGATCCTGTCACCAAGAGCCCCTGAGAATAGCTTTGCTTCCAGCCCAGTTGGCTGGAGAAGGAAGCCTAGTGGAAGAGGAGCCAGGCAAAACCCAGAGAAGAAATTTCTTGCCACCAAAGTTCTTGGCACTGCCAAATTATTCAACATCAGAAACTAACACCATTTTATGAGTAGGCCATGGGACCTTTCCATCTGACTGGGAGCTGAAACTGGTGTGTTATGTCACCCTTTAGAATGACTTGAGAGAAAGTACTGTCTGACTTTCTATTTATAACCCCAGCACAACCCAGGGCTTTGCATGTAGTAAACACTGAATATAAATGCTTTTTTATTTATACTAATAATAGAAGCTAGCATTTATACACTACCTTAAGGTTTGCAAAGCACTATATCCCATTTGATCCTCATTACAACCCTGTGAGGTAGGTACTATTATTATCCTCATTTTTAAGAGGAGAAAACTGAGGGTGGGAGAGGATAAGTGACTCTGTGGATAGATCCAAGAACACTGGTACGATCGAATATAGAGCAAAACAATCTTCACGATCACATCAATAATGTAAAGGAAAAGAACAATGATAGATAGTCTGCAATCAGTGACCAGTGTAACCTGAATGTGAACGTGAGGCATGTCTCAAGCAGGCGGTGGACAACTGGTGCAGATTAAAGCATACATAACAACGACAATAGCATTTATGTGGCGCCTAAGCGCTTTACAGATACAATCTCATTTCACACTGTCACGATCAGTCATCATATGGACATCTAGATGAAGAGCTGGGTTCTCCAAACACATCTGGCAGCCCGAGTCTTCGCGATGTTTTCAAGGGAAGCTAACCGCACGTGCACGGCCGGCTCCGCGGGCGAGGAGCAAAGGCAGCTCTCTGCAGACCCCAGGCGTGCATCCCCAGGCACATATTGGAGGACTCGGCGTTCTCCACCCCCGGCTGCCATAGCAACCCCGCCAGGCTCTACGAAGTCGGAGGAAGAGCAGCAGGAGGCGCTCTCGGGCCTCTCTCTGCGTCTTGTTGTCCCCCTTCTAAAGCCTCCGACTTCCGGTCTCCCTCAGCCCCATCTCGATGGCCCCGCGCTGGCCTCTCTAGGCCGGCGGTCCCGCCCGCGGAGTGCAGCGTCTCTCGTCTCGATGGCCCCGCGCTGGCCTCTCTAAGCTGGCGGAGAGGGAGTGCGACTGGGCCGAGGCCATGGGGTCGCTGGGCAAGGTGCTGCAGGCGGCCGTGGTGCTGGGCTCGGGCGCGGGCCTGGGGCTCTTCCTCTTCGTGCTGGTGCCGCCGGGGGAGCAGCGGACACGCGATCTGCTCAAGGTGGGTTGCCTAGAGGAAGCGCCTGCTGTTTGCCGGGCGCACGGCACCCGGCAGCGGAGCCGGGGCAGGCCGGCGTGCAGAGCGCACGGGAGCCCGCGGGGAGTTGACCGGCTGTCTGGGCAGCGGAGGCACGCCTGCAGAAAGGGGCGCTAGCTGGGGTGGGACAGCTGGGGAGGCCGCCCTCCACGGCCCCTGACCTGCCTCCCTCTTTGGTCCTGCCCAGGACACTCCGGAGAGGAACCCGCAGCGAAGGGACGAAGCGACCAAAACCAAGATGCTGTGGATGGACACGCTCCGGAAAGCTGTAGAGACCCACGAGAACGTGGCCTGGAGAAAGGACTGGAACCCCAGGGGCGGGAAGGAGGCTTGAGGCCCTCTCCTGGCTCCCATCTGGACTTAGGATGCCCCTCACCTCCTCGGCTCCCCAGGGCTCTTGTCTTGCGCCTCCCCTGGGTGACTGAGGGCCGGGACTCTCTCCCACGGAAAGTGGACACCGGTGTGGAATAAACCCTGGGTTTTGACGTGAATTTTGGCAGGCGTCTAAAACGGAATGACCGTTTTCTCCCACTGCACGTCAGTCTCTGGCTTTCCTTCTCTGACCGAGAAAATGACGTGGAATTACATTTCCCCATCCCCAGAGTAAAGGTTAACACAAAGATTTCAGCTGCTGTGCCCCTTGGCCCACAAAGAGACTGGCACTGGGTGAAAAGTCTCTGGGAAGGTTGGGACAAGGTTCTAGTCCTGTTCTGGAAGGGTTTTTGGCTTGGGCTGAGGACACAGTTGCTCCTTGAGAACCAACACTTAGCAGGAGTGGGAAGGGCCTTATGTTTGCACGCTGAGGACAAACCGGGGTGGGAAAGAAAGGAGAAGGCACTCGGGACATTTGGCTGGATGGAGACAAGGTGGTTGTGTGTGGGGAGGCACGCGGCAGAGGGATCTCCTCAGGGCCTTCTGGCCAAGGCCGGCCCCCTGCCACTTGTTGGTTGGGCTGCAAACAAGGGTCCTCTTCTGGTGTGGGTTGACCATTAATGTCCCTCTGAACGTGGGGAGCACTGTAGCACAGACCACAGGGGCCAGGCCCAACCTGAACAACTCACCAGCATGGACCCTTTTTCAACAGCCAAAGTAAAATGGCAACAATCGGGGGGACAAACCACATTGATGTGAACAAGTCTGGGAAGCCTTAGCCCTCCCCCTCACCTACTTTCCTTTCCTGGACTCCTCCGCCCTCCCAGCCCCTCAGGAAGGAGCCTGACATACATGACTCAGGATATGTTTATTAGGGAGGGGATGTCAGTGCTCTGTCAGAGGTGGGGGGAGTTTTGAGGGGAAAGGCAAGGAGGCTGGAGACCCCTTCAGCTGGCACACTTCTTGGCTACAATGAGGACAGCGGAAGGCACAAGTCCTGTGGGTGGGAGAAGAGAGGACATTCAGGCAAGCAGATCTTCCCTTTTTGCTCTAAAGACTCCAGTTCCTAACATCCAACACGGAAACCTCGATCCACTTCAAGCTGTCTCCTGTCCCACCGCCTCCTTAGTCCCATACCCAGCTCCTGCAGAGGTCTCTCCATGTCAGCTTCAGAGAAGGCCCGCCGGGGGAAGCCGCTGAGCAGCTGCACGGGGTCCTGCCCACTCCCCAGTTCCTCTCCTCGATGGAGCTCCACATAGAGTCTCACTGCGGCCAGCTGCTCTCTGGCCTTGAACGTCTGGGTCAGGGATGTCCCATCAGGCAGTCGAACCTGGGGCAGAGAATCAAGTATTAGGGGAAGTGTAGGATAAATGGCTAACGTTAGTGTTTACTACGTACCAGCCTCTGTTAAGTGCCTTACAATGATCTCATCCGACCCTCATAACTCTAGGAAGGGGGTACTAATTATGACCCCCATTTTACAGATGAGGAAACTGAGGCAGAGGTTAAGTGATTTGCCCAGGGTCACAAAGCTCGTGAATTCGTGAGGCGGAATTTGAACTCAGGTGTTCTGATTCCAGGCCTACTGCTCTATCCACTTTGCCACCTGGCTGCCTCCAGTTGCTTAAATAAAAAGTTGCAAGAAAAAGACATGAAGCTATTACAGGGACTCATCATAACCATGATAAAAAAATGTTTATAAAGCACCTTTCTGGGGCTGTGCTGGAGGCTGGACGTGGTAAGTTAGAAATGCCCATTCCCTGCTCTCTGGGAGTTTACAATTGCAAGAGAGATGTAACAGATTGGACCCAGGGAGCTGAAATGCTAAAAATTACAAACAAGTACCAAGGTCAGCATATGTCACAGGACTTATGTTATGGGGGTTCAGTGTTCAAACAGGATGAAGGTCAGTTGGCTAGTTCGCCGCTGTTTTTGAAAGGCTCCCTGAGAAGGTAAGGATTTCATCTGGGAAGGAAAGGAAGACTTAGCCAAGGGAACAGAGGTCAGAACGTGGGACAGTGGGAAGAAGCTGTGAGGCTGTGGCGTTAGCACGTCCATATGGCTCTTGGCTTGGAGGAAGGCCCACAGCCACCCAGAGGATCATCTCCCACACACACACCTGTATGCGACACTGATCATACTCTCGCTTGGTGGGAGGCTCCTGACTGGGAGAAGGAGGAACAGGGCCTGGCTCGGTTGCAGGGGAAGTGATCTGTGATCCGGTGCCACCAAACTAGGGGTTGAGGAAAAATAGCTAAGAGTCCACCCTTAATCCACAGCCCCCTCCCACACCCATTTTCAAGTTCTCTGTCCACCTTTTAAGGGCCTCTAACAAAGCAGAGTTGGGAAGTCTTCCCATAACTGACCCTATCCTGATATTTACGAATGGGATCCTTTGACTGACAGTTCTCCCAAGTAACCCACCTTCTTGGCTCTCTCTACTTTATCCCTCTCGATCTTCTCCCGGACTCGCTGTCTGAAGATGGGGAGGAAGGTGGAGAATCACAAGGATGAGTGTGACCTCGGCCCCCCCTTGCCAGCCTTTCCTCCTGCCCTCCACCTCCACCTGGGGCCCCTGACCTAGCTGCCGTCTCTTCAGCCTTCTCCCTCCTGCGTTCCTCCGCTGCCCGGCGCATCTCATCCTCCTGGAGCCGCTGCCGTGCAGCCGACAGCTCCTGGCCCTGCCGTCTACGCTGCCTCTCCCGCTCCACCGCCTCTCGCTGCTCTCTTTCTCCTCGTTCCTTCTGTTTCTGGGCCACCAGCTCCAACATCCTGGATTAGAGAGAGGACGAAGTCTTCAACCATGAGGGAGAGAATGGTGGTAACTGAAATTTGAACAGGAAGACTTTGAAAACAGGATCTGATGGTAATTTGGAGAAATGAAAATGAAAAGAGTAGGTATTCAGCTATTTTAAATACTTACCGAACAACTACTGCGTGCACAGCACGGTGTTTTTACCGGCAGAGACCAGAAAATGTTTTAGAGATGTGGCCCCTACTTTTGAGGAGCTAACCAACTGGGGTGGGCTATGCAGAACACCAACAACAGAAGGCAGACCCTGCTAGGTCCAGGGTTCAGGGAGAAAAGCAGGACGGAAAGACCCAGTGTCCTGTACCTCTTGGTCTGTTCCCGCTTCTCCGCTTCACTCAGAGGTGGCTTCTCTTCCACCCTCGCTGACCCAGGCCCTGCGAAGAGGTGACCCAAATCATGTCCCCAACTGTTACAGCCCTGCCACATCTTCCCAAGTCCCCATCCCTTCCCTAATCAGAAGGCGCCACTCCTCCACCTATTCCTTTGGCTCTGACCTTCAGGGCTGCCTCCCCCATAGGACGGGGGTTCATGCCCCAAGGAGTGTCCCAGGGGGGAAGCTGGGGGCTCATCCACATCCGGGTCATCTTCATGTTCCATCAACCTAGATGAGTGGGGCAACCTAGTGAGCTGGGGCCTGCTTGGAGGCCAGAACCCTGAGCTTGGCTTCTCCACCTACCCTACAACTTTCTTTCCTCTTCCAGGACCCCGCCCCCAGGCCACCACCGGCTCCCCTTTACTCCCAATCACCCCCTGGGCCCCCCTCTCCTCTCACCAGTCCATCGCAGCCTCGATGCCCTGGTTCCCCGTGAGGGCCAGAGCCTTCTCCCTGGGGACAAAAACCAGGGTGAGCCTTGGGGGGGCGGGGTCACGCAGACACCCCCCCAGTATTGCAGCCCAAGAAAGGCAAGCCCCGAGCTGCGGGTGCACAGGAGGCCTGGGAGAGGGGGGTGGGCGTCCCGAGCAGCCCAGGACCCAGGCTCCGAAGGGGAGGCTCAGCCCCGGGACGAGCCTGGGGCGGGGAAAGCAGGGGCGGTAGTGGGGGGAGGGGCGCGGTAATGGCGTGTCCGCGGACATTCCGGGGCTCCCACGGGGAAGAGGCGGGAACAGCCGGGGGGAAGCTCCCAAAAGCGGGGGCAGGGGCTGGGGACACTGGGGCCGCGCGCCCCCGCGGGGGCGGGGACGGGTTCCCTTACGCGCGCCCCCGCGGAAAGCCCATCTCGATGAGACTCTCCAGAGCCGTCCGCTCCGCCATGGCGCCGCCTCCGCCTCCACCGGGACCTAGGAGGGGGCGGGGTCAGGGCGGGGGCCACGCGCAACCCCCTTCCTTTCCCGGAAAGGGGCGGAACAAAGAACGAACCCCCCCCCCGAGCGCCCGCCTTGCCTCCGCCTCCTTTACGTTTCTCTGCGTGGGAGCACGTGCCCGCTCGGGGCTGCGCGTGCAACCTCTCCTTTCCCTCCCCCCTATACCACCCAAGGCTCGGCAGCGCGCGCCTTCGGGCCCGCGGATGGGGCGGAGCCAGACCACGGGCCCCCTTGGGGCACGCGCACCTTCCCACAGCTCGCCATCTCCCTCCCTTCCCCAGCCCCAGGCACGAGCCCGCTCTGGGCTGCGCGCGCCTCCTCCCGCCCCTCCCGATCCGCGTCGCGCGCCCTCACCCAGACTCGGCGGCTCCGGACACGCTGGGCGCTGGTGGGAGGTGGCGGGGGAGGGGGCCCAGGGTGGTCGAGGGGTAAGCGTGAAGGTGGAGGAAGCCGAGGAAGTCGGAAGTGCCGGTGTTTGTGTCACGTGGATGCTCTGGCCCGGAGGAGGGGCGGTCTACGGGACCTGCTGAGGGACAAGGCAGCGACTTCGCTTTTCGAGGGCACGTGGTCGCGTTGGTGGGAGGGGGAGGAGTTCCATCTGGTTTCCTAGGCAACCCCCTCTGCATCCCCGCATTCTGGCCGGGGGAGTGAAGCGCTTAGAGTTGGCAACCTTTCCGTGGCCCTCTCCCACGCGGAGCCGAGGAAGAAGCTGAGGAGCTTAGCCCAGGAGTCACGCAGCGGAGCCTCTCAATATCTCCCGCAAACGCTCCCGCCTCCCCTTGCCTGGTCCTGACCTCAGATCCTCCCATCTGTTCGCCGTTTGCTGCCGTCCTTCCTCTCCTTAGGCTTTGCTGGCCCAAACCCCGTTATCCGTCTTCAATCATGGAATATTAAGCACCTACTATGTGCAAGGCACAAGTGCTGGGGATACAAAAAGAGGCAAAAGACAAGTCCCTGCCCTCAAGGAGCTTGCAATCTAGTGGCGGAGACAACATGCAAACAAAAATGTATAAGGCAAGCTATGTACTTGATAATGAGATAATTAACAGGGGAGGTGAATTAAATTAAAAGGGGTTGGGGAGGGCTTCCTGTAGAGGGTGGGATTTAGATGAAGCCAGGGAGGTCAGTGGTTGGAGCAGAG